AGAAACGTTGCGTCACGGTGGTCATGTGACTCGCTGACGCAACAATATATTTATATGTGTGTGGACAGTTTGTCGAAAATTCAGATTATGTAACAATACAACCTACAATATGTTAATATTATAATTTGAAAGTTTCTAAATATATTTGTTCAGGAAAATGTGACTGTGTTGGTAATACTTAGAAATAGTAAAACCACAAAATTCATATTAAAAAGGATTTAATCTTATTCAGATTGTTTTACACAAACACAGACGTTATAAACTCAAACAACTACGAAAGTGTTCTCTTCTTACTTTAACAGTTTAAGTAAAAATAATACACATCAGACTAGCAAAAATATCAAATAATATTTCTAAATAACTTATTCTAATATATTATTATACCGATAATTTTAAATATATATATAACCTTGAAATACTTCTTCATAATGTCTTAAAAAATTAGTAAACATTGTTATTATTTTATGGGCACTGTTATCTTTCTTAAAGAAACAGACAATTCAACTTCAATACTGTGATAATCAGAGCTACCAAAAATTTCAATGTACTGAAGGTAGGTTTCAGCAAGATATATATAGCTGAAGAACATAATCTGCTTATGCTCTACCAACATCTTATCTTATGCTGTCAAAACCCTTGAAATTATCTAGTTCATACACTTTTTATTTGACTCAGTTACCAATTTGTTGCAAAATTTAGACGACCACACGTAACAAACTATTAAAGTATGGAATATTTGGCGAGAAAATTCTAGAAGTTTCGGTTATTTGGCTTCTTTAATGCACTCACCAAAGTTCTTGTAAAAAAAGTGTCTAATACAACATTCATAGGGCAGCAAAAGTATATATTCATAAATGTTCAGAAGTATTCTCTAATAAACACATTTGTAACAAATCTCAAAATTTAAGTAACACATAAATCTTAAATATAACAAAAAGTTTCATAATAACACCCATCTTAATAAATACACCTAGTATTCTGAAAATTGTTTAATTTCGATGTCTAAGTTCAAGGGAGGTCGAGTTCAATTTACACTTTGATCAACGTATGTTATTGGGTTATACTAGTTTTAGATAATTCCAGTCCTCATCAGGAACCACGAACACAAGTTAACCCTTTCAGCACGGTCTGTCGGACCAACCTCCTAACCATTTTGTGCTTGTTAACGTTTTCACGCTATAACTTTTAAATTAGTAAGCATATGTTAATGAAATTTGGCAGATTATCAGTGAACATTACAATGCTTTCATAGCAAAATATCAAATTTTTACTAATTCTTAAGCAATGTTTTTTTCTCATACCCTTTTCTTTTCACGTGTTAAGTATCCAACATGGAAAGTAATTTTTATTTTTAAAACTAAAAAATATTTTTATGCATCAGAAAATTTTCAGATTTCACATGCCCATTATCGTAGATGCGCGCGTATGTAACCATTTTCGTACATGCTCGCGCAGGTGCGTAATTTGGTACATGCGCGCGCAGATGTCAATTTTGGTACATGCGCGCGCAGGTGCCCATTTTCGTACGTGCGCGCGCAGATGCGTAATTTGGTACATGCTCGCGCAGGTGCATAATTTGGTACATGCACGCGCATGTGCCCATTTTCGAGGTAAGCCAAAGGTGGTGCATGCCAACAGGCTTTGGCATTATTACGGTCCAGGACACTTCAGGTGGAACGACGTGAAAAATAATGCTACAGAAGTCGGTGTCACCTGAAAAAGCCACTGTCGAAGAAGAAACTCTACCCGGTTTTGAGGGAATCAAACCCCAGCTTTTAACATTGTAAGTCTAGACCACCCTACTATCATGGGTCAAAATACTTCTTATGATGCAATAAATGGATTCCACAGTAAATACGTAATGGATAAAAAAAAAAGTCAGTATACACTGTACTACCTTAAATCAAATAAATGAAAAAAGATTTGTCTATAATAAATATCTATGACAAGGATAAAGGTCACTGTACATCAAGTGTTATGTTAGTAAATTCCGAATGATTATTTATAAACTTTGTGAATTACTGTCAAGGTTTGTTTTCTGATCACTATAGTGCATACATCACACACTTACTGTATAATTTCTTCGACAAATAGTAGCAGCTGAAGAAAATAGCTCGTTTAATAGACAAAAATATGTGATGCATCATAACTCTGATCAATAGAATTTCTTGTTTTATGATGAATGTAAGAATATACAAACAATTAATTGTAGAAACTTGTTAACTGAATGTGGCTAAATTTAATGGTACAAACATTGCATATGTCGTGTTCTAAATCAAGCTGTGTTTATATTACTTGATCTTGGCTTTGAAACCATGAAAAGTATTCTTTGCCAGAAAAAGGATCAATAAATTTACATATAAAAAAAGAACAAGATGACAAACTGAAATAAAATATTTATAGACAGAGATAGTTATATCTTGGTCTTAGTAAATGAAGTTGCTTTATGAAGGAACTAATCTCTTTCAAGAAATCAACTATTTAAATTCTCAACACACATGTATATTTTAATCTCTTAAGCAAGGCAAGCACAATACAGAGTAAATTCAGTTATGATTCATTAACAGAAATCCTGTTTTAGATTAAAATTAATACCCAATAGAGTAACTTCAGTATTTTGGTGTCCGAAATTTATCCCTCATGATCTTTGGACTTATTTCTGATATTTTACCTTTAATGCTATAATTATTGATGATGTCCATATGGACTCCACAAACTTTTAAACACATTTTTATAAATTATTTATGCACCAAACTGCTTTTGGTGTCATGACTTTGGTGGATACGGGGCCTTAATAACATAAGAATTCCACAAAAAACTGTAAACCAAAATACTGCCAATATTACATTTGAACCTGCTAACTAGTGTAAAATGAGTGATTTATTTTTGGTCAGTTCTTTACACTGACCATTGTAACAGTAAAAACATAAAAATTACACAGTGTGATACAATATGTAGACTTCACAAGCCAGTAATGTGAAAATTAAAGCATTTTGGTATTTAGGTCTTAACAAACTTTTTAAAACTGCTTGTTAGAATCTATTTAATTAAAGAAAGAATTGTTCTGGAGAAAAACCCAGTGCATGAAGTACAACTTTCACTAGAACTTTGTCATTTGTTAACATTTCTAGTGCACCTAATGTTTTAGATAACAGTTTCCTCTTTTGCACCTATAATCTTTTTTTTTAGTGCTTTCTTCCAGAATTAAGCTTCTTTACAGTATCACCAATTCAAAATATGTTAGCACATTTTTATAACAACAACTAATCTTCTTTCAACACTGAAACACCATGTCATGTAAAATCTAAATAATTAATTAGACATCACTACACTCTGGGATATTATCCATAACAATACACTAAACTGACAACATAATTAATATTTTATATTACAAATAAAAAAATCACTCCCAATAAATTGTCATTACAACCACGACACCAAGTCAAACATGATTTTATTCTGCAAAAAATCCAAACATTCCAAGAACAATACAATTATTTCAAAGAGATAAACAAATACTTGTAATTTTTTGGAAGTTTCTAAAGACCACATTTCTAAGCTGTTGGACAAGTTCTTTTTATTTATTCATAACGAATGTTATTTTCCATATTTGACAAAAAGTGCATGATCTTGAATAGTGTAATATTGCTAAAACCTGTATTGCCTACACAACTCAGATATTCTTATTCACATTTGTATATTACTTAAGATTTCACAACACAAATTCTTACTTTATATTTATTATGCAAAAATTATGCACAAAAATGGAATGTTGATGCAAGTGGCCACTGTAGTGACATTATCTTCATTAAATATTTAAATTTTAAGTTATTCACAAATAATACAGTTACTATTTACAAGGCTGGCTTCTGTAATTGTTAGCCTAAATTACTTATGCTGTACTGACTTAACATTATCTTTTTTAAATATTCATATTTTATGTTATTCACAAATAATACATTTATTATTTACAAGGCCAGCTTCTGTAATTATCAGTCTAAATTACTTATTACTAAACCTTTTTTCATTTTACAATATGGTGCTTTTATAAGAGCATTTATCTATAAAATAAAAGACCTGTTTGGGAAACACATCAACTTTTGACATATGTCAAGGTTTGTGTTTAAAACTCGTAACATTCTAAAGACACTACAGACCAAATGTACAGGATCTGCAAAAACATTATGTATACACACATACACAAACACACATTCAAGTCACCTTGTATACACGATTACAATGTTTTGTAAACATTATGTATTTGAACACTTCATAGTCTAAACAATATAAATACCTTTCTACATATAAACACAAAAACTTTCAGGATATAATTACCAAGTTAACAATTAGATTAAGAAAAAAAAAATTAAATGGCTCTCAATAACTCAGATTGAAAAGTTGATGCTGTTATATAATGTTAAATCAAATTTTCTAATTTTACACTGGATTTTATTAACTTAAGAATTAAAAACTAAACTTTTTGTTCATTTTAAAAGCTCAATTTTTTTAACACTCACTTGAAGTTCACTTTCCTTCATTAATCTGAAAACATTAATTCCATTACATCAACAACAATTTACTCTGATGAAATATAAAACAACAAAAACTGGACTAAATGATAGATACGAAAAATTTATTTTTTTCAATCACCACATTGCTATTTAATCATCTAATGTATATAGCTACAGAATGTTCATTATACCTCCTATTTATCACAACAAGAAAATTCAGTATGAATGGCTTGTATTTTTAAAAACTGATATTTCCTTCAACAACACTGTGCTAGCACTCTGTTGAGATTTAGCACTTGAACATTGTCAACCCATAACTTACAGCAAGTAACTGGAATTGCACATTTAAATTTGTTAAGCCACAATAACTGACAGCATATCTTGGACTTGAATATTTAGATGTGTTGACTCATAATAATGGCAGCATGTCTCTCGGAACAACTTTAGCCCATTTATTTGACTTTAATAAATCTTTATTGGTGAGATATAAACTTATTACATGTTTTCCTTTAACCAGGTACTATTTTGTTAACATGTAATTTTTTGTTTATTTACAACAGCATACATGTAATTGGCAATGTATTACTACAGAGTCATAATAAACAACTGTACAACAGACTTAATAGAAGTAGGAAATAACATGTTTCACAGAGACTGCTGGTACAAAAGCATCATTTTATTATTAATCTAATTTAAAATAAAGCCACCAGGTTAATTTAAATTTACATTTAGAAGATACTATTAGTATTTACACATTCTTTAATTGCTTGGTTTCTGTTTTACAAATACATCACAGAGAGATTAATTTTAAATCAATGTAGTAATCACTATGTTCACTTTAATCCCTGATTTTAAGATCAAAGAACGTGAGAGAAAAATAATGTTTGTAAGCAAGAGCCACTAACGTTAAACCAGCATTTTTATGAGCTATGGACAACTTCTTTTATACAATTGTTGAATTATTGATTTATTTGCCATTTCTTACCACAAAAACCTGAAGACACAATGTACATCATAGAGAAAGCAATTATTGATGAACAGATTGTTCATTGTAATATATGTTAGAAACACTGAACATCTTGTGCATGCTGAATACAGCTATTACAATTTTATTTATCAAATTGTCTTATTAATAGTTTAACTAATCCATAAGAAACATACATAATTCAGGAAAAACAGTTTACTAATCTCATACATAAGGATAAAACTAAATGTGTTTGAAAGCAGAAACTATGCTGGCAGCATTTGAACTATAAATAATTAGAAATAATTTTAAATCATCAGTGATAACATAAACCACGGTTTAATGGGACCATAATCACCATTATGATCTCTATAACATAGCAACTATATAGATATGCATGTTATGGTGTCAAATAAAGCAGGGTTTGTTTGGTTTTGAGGTATAAATTCAAACAAATTGCTTACATTCCACTACTATATGAAGCCTTCTCTATTTAGTTGCTTCACTTTTCCAGGAAGCACTGATGAGCCATGAATTTAACAAAACTAGTCTGCTGCAGTGGGAGTAGTGAATAAAAGAATAGATTAGGCCTCAACATCATCTATTCTTCACTGAAATTCATATTTTGATGGGGAAAAGAAATTAATAAATATATATATAAAGCAAATTTTCCTAGAACAATCAGTTTTACATTAAGATCCATTCAGCAAGAGTACAATATTGTCAGGACAATCACTAACATTTACTATTATGATTAGATTATAGGACATTTTGCAACCATTTAAAAAAAAAATTTAAGCTAATCACTCGAGGGTTAAAGCCAAGATAATTCTCAGTTCTTTCTTTAAATATTCAACATACATCTTTGGGTCTTACAAGTTTAAGAATATTTTTAATACGTTTAAGAGGATGACTATTAAGAACTTGAAATTGCCCAATTACTCATTAATTGCTGTAATTAAATATAAGTTTAAGTAGAAGTTTTGTAATCATAATCTAGCGTGTCAAAAAAATTAAACTTTTACCCTGCTCAATTCAAGTTGTCATGGAAGTCAAACAATTTGAAGCTTTTTTTTTTATTATTAAACTTTAATGCATCACAGTTGGCTTTATGGAAATGTACTGGAATTATCTTACTGAAAAATCTTGGTGTTCTTCTTCATGCCTGGCCACAAATAGCAGTACGACAGATAAATGTGTTAACACTTAACTGGTGAGAAGTCTTAATCGAGTTTATGGCTTTAGAAAACACAGTACTTATTAAAAAAAAAAAAAAAAAATCTAATCTTGCTTTGAGATTGTAACTGTTATAGTTTCTAAAATCCTCATCTCTTTAGTTGCTTCCTACATGCTTTAACAAAAAATATTTTTGTTTTCACTATGATGAAAAGAACAATATTGGAATAATTTCTATAACTAAGGCATAAATATATGAAAAAGACTTGCATTACCTAACTGTGTGCCCATACATCATATTTTACACTACAGGAGACTAACTTATTTTTCATTATCGTTAAATATATATAAGAGCCTAATCATGCCAAGTCAGTCAGCCTCTCAGCTACTGTAACTAGTTCCGCTGACAAAGTAAGCAATTCAGTAAAATATCACCTTCAATTTACTCCAAACATAATGAGAAGTTTTTACTGTCACACATTTGAAGGTAATGATATTAACCACCCTTGTTTGGTATTCTTTATCATTCTTAAGCATATTCTACGACGGATAAACATCATTTTGAATACAATGATATTCAGACAAACAATTTTTGTAGAACAAAAAAAATATATGTTACATGGAAGCTCTCATTTTACATCAAACACTTTACATATGGAGCTACAAATGCAGGAACTACCTGTCTATGAAGTCTTTATGTGTACAGTTGTCTCAGGCTGAGATTCAGAAACGTATTAGTATGTCTGCAAGACAATCCTAATGAGACTTTAAAGCAACAAGAAGTATTATCAAAAAAACTGTTGTTGCTGCTAAAATCAATATACATAGCATTTTATGGTTTTTACGTTGATAGTTCTCAGCTTTCTGTAATTTTTGTAGGCCTTGGTGAACTTGGGTTTGGACATGCTCCAGGTTGTAGTCAATTCTATCCAGAATGGTTCCCTGTTGTAAAAATACTGACCTCAGCTTGTTTCATACAAAGTTCATTAAATGACCATTATGTTGTCACTCATCATTTCAGTCTAAAACAAAGGATATCTCCCCCCCATCCAAAAATGAACTATTTCAAAGTCTTACAATACACAACAAATGCTTTAAATTTAGAAATATAATTAATGGGACAACAAAAGAAATTAATAAATATATAATACATCGTCATTTACATTACTGGCTACAGTTTTTTTAACACACTTAGTAACAGCATTGCTTTTTTTGTAACATTTATATTAATATAAATACACTAGCTGTTGTAATAAGAAATAGTTCAAACTGACAATCAAAATGAGCACCTTGTGGGTGAGACATAATGCAATATATGAAAAATTATACTTCCAAAGATTTCAACTGCTCTGAAAATAAATGAAAATCAAATAATAAATACTCCTTGTTCACTTCAGTGTCTGAAAATAAGATCCCAATTAAAAACAATTACAATAAACTGGCGGCAGAATACAAAAAATTACTCCTAAATAGCTTCAAAGGGGTCCTCATGTTAGAACCATGCACCCACGAAGGACAACTGGTGTGGGTCATGAGAACGTCATTTGTCTGTTGTTATGTTGGGTAAGTTCCTGAAGATTCAAAATCTGACAAAATATTGATGTATATATTACACTAATCAACAATACTTCCTATAATTATATGCTTAAACAGAGATATGACTCATGAAGAATAGTTTGTAGCTTCATAGCTCATCTTCAAATTGTGATGTTTTCATTATATGTTTATGCAGGTATGAATGCTGGTGCCCATGATGACTACTAACCTGGACTGGTACATCCCATCTTCAAATACCTGATATACTAAACTGAGACGATGGAGACTTGTACTCTTACCATCCATTAAAAGATGTGATAATACAAAAGAACGGCAGAAATGTTTACTTCGCCAAACTGCCGAACCTAGTGTTCATAATAGTCTGGGAAAGTAAGTCCTCCAGAGGATAAAAAAAGTGATAAAAGAAAGTTTAGAATGCAGAGACTTGAAAACTCTAAACATCATTGGCTGTCTGAAATTGCTGAAAATAAGAGTGATAAATTCTCACAACATGACTCAAAGTGAATATTCAGAGAGAAGGGCAAACATCACCACTACAATCTACTTTAGTATCTAGTATCATCATTAAACCACAACCACATCATAAAGTGTATGTGGAGAAGAATAGCAATGTAGAACTTTGTATATAACGTTATGTTTTCTCAGTTTGGAACACATCTTTACAGACTTTTGGCCTACAGTAAAGGCACTGGAATCAGAAATGCTTCTCACAATATATAATATTGCTTGTGTATCTCCTTCAAACAGCAACTGTGCTAGTGTAAATAATGGATGAGCAACGGGAACAGTCACAGACAGCCTTTAATTATTTGTGCACACTTCTCACTGTAGATGTGTTGTATGAAGAAGTTAACAATGAAATAAGTGAAAGTAACCAAGTACAAATGCTGATGGTGTACGATTGAATTATTTATGTTGTATCAAAGTGTAAAAAATCCACAGCAAAATACATCTAGAAATCAAGTAGCTCCAACAGAAATCAAACTGGCTCTACTAAGTATGAACAGTCAGGGACAGAAGAGGCTGACTGATTTTTTTTCAGTTTTTGTACCAAAGAGGTTGGTTTCCATGACAAACTATAAAACGTCAAACCAGTACATATATCAAAACAAGCATCATCAATTGAAAACTATTAAAGACAAACCAAAGCCTCTTCCAAAGATACTGACCATGATATCAGCTTCATCACTTACTAGAACACGAGTTACCATGTATTCCCTTTCTTTGGCTGACAATTTTAGATACATCAAGTCTGCTGATAAGGAAACAATTGGGCACAACCTAGAGGAGGGTGTGTGAAGTGATACTCCAATCTACTGACATTTCAACATGCACAGCACTGAACAAACAAGCACGGGCTCGGTCCATCAGATCAACCTCATAATCATTTTGTGCTTGTTATAATTTTCATTCTATAACTTTTAAATTAGTAAGTGTATGTTAACAAAATTTGGGAGATTATCAGTTAACATTATAATGCTTTCATATGCAAAATATAAATTATTTTATTAATTCTTAAGGTTTGTTAAGCAATGTTTTTCTCCTACCTTTTTTTTCTCTTCTTTTCACATGTTTCCTATCCAACATGCAAAGTAATTTTCATTTTAAGATTAAAAATATATTTATGTATCAGAACATTTACAAATTTCACATGCAAAATCTATATAATGTCCAGATAGTTATCAAACATTTCACAAAGAAAACTTTATATTTTATCTGTTGTTTTCACTAACGAATCTCAATGGGTTTGATAGATTTGACCGATCTCGTAACCAACATAAAAAATTAGGAAATACACTGTATTCAATAAGATATAGTTGACCCTGTCTTTGCTGTGTTTTAGTAGACTAGTATTAAATACAATACAGTAACATTTCAACTATTATACATTATATACATATATAGATTATTAATATTTAGAAATAACTTATTAAACTTAATTTTCTTGAAACACAGAAGCAAACAGTTATCTCTTCTAGTTATCCCCTTTCTCTGCCTGACAATTTTAGATACATCAAGTCTGCTGATAAGGAAACAATTGGGCACAACCTAGAGGAGGGTGTGTGAAGTGACACTCCCATCTACTGACATTTCAACATGCACAGCACTGAACAAACAAGCACGGGCTGAAAGGTCAATACAATAAAAATAATTTGTAGTCATTCTAGAATGAAAAAAGCATAATTTATATTTATTTCCTAATTTTTTATGTTGGTTATGAGATTGGTCAAATCTATTGAACCCGTAGAGATTCATTAGTGAAAATAACAGATAAAATAAAGTTTTTCTTATGAAATGTTTGATAATTATCTGGACATTATAAAGATTTCACATATGAAATTTGAAAATTTTCCGATGCATAAAAATGTTTTTAATCTTAAAATAAAAATATGCAATTATTTTGTTTTAGTGCATAACATACCCAATACAGTTCAAAGAAATAAACCTGCATTCCACGCAATCTCAACACGTGACTCTTTGAACCAGTTTTTTTGGCATTTACAAAAAATAGTAGATTGGATGTGAAATTTAGTAATGTAGATGATGGAGAGCGTTAACCATTAGCTAATCATTTGTGTGTGAGGTAGTTACATAATTTTTATCCCAGTATCTACTACCTAGAAGTTTTAAGGGCTGATAACAAATATTTATTAAATGTTTTTTACAAAAAAATACATTTAGAAAATGTTCCTGAACTGTTCAGAACTCCTGGAAACCTTGGGAAGTTTTGACCTAATTGCAGACACCTTATCGAAAGCAAAAAAAAATTGTATTTCATCTGTACTTATCAACTTCCCAGACTGTTCTACAAATGAAAGACAGATACGGAAAATCTCCTTCCAAGAGAATATGCACTCAGGCAGCTTATCAAGAGGGCTCACTTTCAATCACTATTCTGGTAATCAGACAAAAATAGAACCAGATCTACCACCATCAGTTGATAATGGCAACTTTCTGCCACTACTTTTCATGAAGAATTCATTGTAAAAAAAAAATTAATGACACTCCCAACGTGGGTGTAAAAATCATGCAATTGATGTCACTCCTAGCAACTACAATGTACAGCTAAATGTGTGGAACATATCACATATAGCAAACATTCTCACTGCATTATAAAACAATGTAACTGGTGACTCATCAGAACAAGCAAAAACTTAAATAGAAAATTATGAGATATTATTTGACAATAAATATTCCTCTTTCAAATCTGGTACCATTTAATAAATATTTGTTATCAGCCCTTAAAACTTCTAGGTAGTAGGTACTGGGATAAAAATTATGTGACTACCTCACACACAAATGATTAGCCAGTGGTTAATGCTCTCCATCATCTACATTACCACAAAAATGATGTGTTTATATAGTGACAAAATATCATAATTTTTTTCTAACGGTAATTATTTTCAATTATGCTAAATAATTTTTATCTTTTGGGTGCATTTTATTACTACTTTAAACATTAGATACTACAAAAGTAATGAAGAAAGGCATAAAAAAGTTTATCTAGTAAATAATGATGATAAACTGACAAACTCTAATTACAGATTTCAATTTTTTTCTGACAATCATATTTTGGTTATAACTGGATCATGAATATCTTGCTTTGGTAGCACCACAGTAGAGAACAGGACAAACAATTCAAAAAACAAATAACCACGCAACTTTATGATCCTTTACACTACCAGATGATTGAAGTTTCATTTTCAAAGATTGTATACTTTTACAGATATAACATGGAAAATAATTTACAATTAACACCTGAAGAGATGTTTTAATCAGGTTATCACTTTATAAACTATGTCATTTCAAACTACTTAAAGACCCAACCAATGTACCTATATGGTTATTAATTTTGTCTATCATGCCTCCTAATTGATAGGAACTAAGTTTTTCCAACAAGCTCTTTTTTCTTTTAGATTTTTATATAATACTCATCACATACAAACACATGAAGTCAATCTTCAATCATAAAGCAACCATCCCTTAAATAATTTTTCAACTTGTGAAGGCCACAAATTTATCTTTCAAGAAAACAACTTATTGGTCCATCTATCTGAAACAATTACTGTAATTCACACATTACAGAATCTGAACATATGAATGTCCTTTTTATATATATATGTATGGCATCTCTTAATAGTTGGAATTTGAGCTTTTATGGCTTCATAAAAGTGAATGGTACACCGAGTTTTGTGACAAGTTCACTTTCATTTTTAACATCATTATAACTATAAGTTAATGGATTAAGTACCTCACATTATGATACATCCTTATTTACTGTTGGAATATCAAGTTAACCCTTTTACAATGGGCATCCTTTGTTGCACATGTCACAAGGTTTTTAGTGACTTGCATTAAAAATGTAATTAAACTACTTTTTGCTTATGTTAAATCAATTAATATAGTATAAAATCATAGCTAATGATCCATATTTTAATAGTACATAAGTTTTGAGCTCTTGATTTTACAAGTTAAAATTTAACAAAATCCTGAATTTCCCCTAGTGTGGGAAATGACATTTTTTCTTTAGGCATCCCCTCTTCTGTAATTTATTACCCACCTCTCCAAATCGTCATCACTCAAACAAAACAATTATTATAGCCTTCAATCTTGTTTGGTTACAGAGCCATCAAATAGAAAATCAGATCCCTCTTGCCACACCCACCTGTCACATACTCTCTTTCAAGATTTGTTAACAGTTATCTCTTACATTTAATATTATATTATTTATAACCAATAGGGAGCAAATGTTTTCCTCTATCAAATGACCTGTTATATTACGTTGTGTTTGGAAGACAAAATTGTCAATTTCTGTTTTAGTACAAGTTTCATTCCCATGGGAATGCAACAGCTCTTGTTGTATAGTTAGAAAGCTAGAAAAATTGTGATAGTTATTATGGGATATTGTCTGCTTTTTGCATGCTATTATTCTATGTTCTTTGGTGCATTATTTAACTAAATAAAAATTATTTAGTGCATTACTACCATTAGTATAAAAAAAAAAGTAGGGTTAAGTGTCATTGACAGTCTAAAGCAAAAAAAAAGAAAAAAGAAAGAAGACCCTGTAGGTACTTTATTTCTTGTTTTTCATGTTTATTCTTTATTTATTATTATAAAAGTAACTACAATGCAAAAACAGGAATTTTGTTTGGTTAGTTAAAGCTAGATTAGGCAAAATAAATTAATAATAATAAAATACTAAAACATTATCATGAGGTACGCACATGAGCAGCTTGAAGTAGCTCATGGGTAATGTATTTTGACAGCGTAATGCGAGCTCCATGTTCCCCAAGTAATTTACAACTTATAATGGCATAAATAGTAGTTAGACACAGTTCAAAGAGCAATAAAACAATAAAATTTAAGTATAAATAGATGTATACTGTTACAAGTTTAAAGATACTTAGGATAAACGAATGTAGTTTCATGTTACAATTTGAAGTGATTCTAGAAAGAAAAAAAAAGAGTAAGTTATATATATTTTTGATTTTTTTTGGTGGTTACAATATTGGCTAAATTGACCGACCTTGTATAGAATTCGGGTAGACAAAATACCAGGTAAAATAAAAAGTTTTATTGAAAATTAGTGTTTGTAAAATATTTAGGGGCTTAGAGATTATGCAAATGAAATTTGAGATTTTTGAGATGTAAAAAGTTTCTTTAATCTTAACATGAAAATCACTTTGCACTCGAACTAGTAAAAAAAAGAAGACTCGATATATTCACGGACAAATATTTTTTAAGTTTATTAAAAATACTTCACTAAAAAGTCAGATTCTATATATGTGAAAGTCTTGAAATGTTTACTGAAAGTCTGCCAAATTTTGTAAAGATATACATACTATATTAAAAGTTAGTAGTATCAAAACTATAATGACTTTAAAAGAGTACAAAGCTAGAGAGAGTTAATACATTAAAAAAATTACCTACTGACAGATTATTGCTCCTAAGACTGAGTATGTTGCATGGATAAAGATCAAAGTTAAAAATAATAATTAATATTTACTGATTTTAAATTCTACATATCATCTACTATATACCTGATCCGTGATTATTGTTGCCAAGTCTTTAAATATCTCATTCAGCTCAGCTATTGATCGAACTACACGAGCTATTTCCCTTTCACGCTGTTCTACCATGCAGGTGTTATCATCTATCTGAAGCAGCTGCTCTTGGGAAAATTTCTATAGACAAAAAAACATTTTAACCAATAAATATGCACACTTATACCAGATATTATTTGAAAGACAACTATATTTATTTTTTCATTCTATTTCATGAATTTGTGATTTTATGAGACAATCCTATAGACATGACAATTCACATTTAACCGTCTGTAGGCCTAACTCATAAAAATTACAAATGCTTGACAAAATATATTTTTGCATTTTAAACAGTCATTTAAATGGTAACAAAAAACATTTAATCATATACACCTAACAGGATAGCTTAACTCTTTCTGCACGGGTACCCTTTACTGCACATGACACAAGGTTTTAGTGTCTTACATTTAAAATTTTCATAAACTACTTTTTGTTTATGTTATACAAATTAGAATAACATAAAATCTTAGCTAATAATCCATATTTTAATAGTATACAAGTTTTAAGTTCTTTAATTCTACAAGGCAATATTTAAAAAAGTCCTGAATTTCCACTAGTGTAGCACACTTGACACATTTTGTCTGAGCATGTCATCATCCCTATTTTATCCACCACCTCTCGAAAAAGTACGAAATAGCCTTTTATAGCCTTCAATTTTGTTTGGTTACAGAGCTGTTGAATAGGAAATCAGACCCCACTTGTCATATTCTCTCTTTCACAATTTGTTGATAGTTCTCTCTTACATTTCATTATATATTATCTATAACCAATAGAAATTATAGGTTTTCATCTATCAAGTGACATATTGTATAATGTTGTATTCTGAACAGAATATTGTCAATTTCACTCAGTACAAGATTTCTTCCAGTGTGCCCCAGCATACACACTAGAAATGAATCCCATTTCATATCACTGGGCTTCTTTAAAGCTACTATACAAACTCTTATGCGGAAACTTAAAAAACAATTCTGATTTTATTTGCAACAGTGCTAAAATGACAAGTATTCAAATTGAGTATCTTTATTTGAATATACTTTGACTGCACTTTCATAATGCTGTTCAATTTTTTTCACTTCCCATATTCTATTTCTAATTTTTAGACAATCCCTGCATTCCATTTGTATTATAGTATAGTTTTCAAAAAGGTGTGGGATTAGCAGCCCATTGTAGATCTGTTACCCTTTCTTGTCAACCAGCCTAGCATGGCTGGTGGTCAAGCACTCAACTTGTAACTTGTTGGTTAAATTCCTGTCACCAGACATGCTCCCCCTCTCTGCTGTATCGACATTATAATGTGATGGTTAATCTTGCCGTTCATTGGTAAATAGTAGTCCAAGATTTGGATTGGTTGGTCAAGCTTACCAAGTAAGTATTGAACCCCCGCACAATATCCGATTCATTTGGAGGTCTTCATCAATTTGTTTGCTGAAACATGGAGCTTGTTACTACTGAAACTTTCATATCTCCTTCTCTCTCCACAAAAAAGCTTTTGTCTCTTATGGAGACTAACCTCTCTCAAGTCCCTTATCCCTCTGGGATACACCAACTTGCACCCCCTTTAGTGTATGATGTCCAGAGGTCCACTGATCTTTGTTGTTTCTCTCCCTCCAACTCATCACTTACTTTTGTGGTGGCTTAACCATTTCTACAAGACCCTGGATATTCCCCCTTATTCCACCTTGCCCATACTTTCATCTTTTTTTCATTGCCTCTCTGCTCAAGGGATGCAATTCTGGACACCTTCACTGTTTCCAGTGTTTGGTCTCCAGAAGAGTGGTCTCTCCACATCAACATTCTGAAGATGTTGACAGTTCAACGAGCCGGCCACCATCTTCTGTGAAATCTGTCTGGACATACGTCAAGATTCATTCAGGCAACTGTTATTTCTTGTATCAATCTACATGGAGGTATTTGCTCTTAAGGCCTTTGCTTTCTTGTTCTAGAGCTCCTTTTTTGGGCCCACAACTATTACATCCAACATTTAGTGGCAGATCTGCTGTATTGCCTGGACCAGATCTTTTTGACAGAATGGTCCTTATATCCTCTGGTGTTTCAGGGGATTTGTTCCCACTTTGGAGAGTCCTCTATCGATGCCTTTGCAACTGCCCTTAATACCAGTCTTTCATTCTTTTAGTCACCAGTTCCAGACTCTGCAACCCTAGGCGATAGCAGTGTGCTCACTGAGTCGGTATTGGTCTGTTCTCCTTCTGTATGTTTATCTTCCTCTTTGACCTCTTCCTAAAGTGCTGTCTCTTAATTTGCAGCATTCCTCAGTGAGTTATTCTCATTACCCCCACTTTTTCACTTCTTAATAATCCAGGAGCCACTAAATCTTCTATCTTAGACATTCTCTTATGTAAACCTCTGAATTCCATATTTTACCACAATGTGCCACACTTTCATCTTCATAGATTCCTTTTGTCCAGTCCCTTGCAAAATGAGCAGGATTTTCTGCAGAGTACTTCATTTTCTTGCTCACCTTTGTTGGCTATCCACCTGTATAGTTTATTGATGCTGGTTCATCTACCACTCCCTCCAGGCCATACAACCCTTCCTCATCTCACTTCCTTTTTTACTTTTGTTTTTGAGACAGGTCTATCCATTTCTGTGGTCACTGGTACAGAATGGCTTTGTCAACAGCCTTCCATCTTTTTCTGGCCATTCTCCTTTTTTTCTCTGGTTCTTACAGATCTATTCAGGGCCTTTCTAATCATTTGTTTTCTTTGATCAATTCTTCTTCCAAAATGGAACATTTGTTTAAATTTTAGGGCTGCCACAAGTCCTCCATTCAAACATTTAGCCACCTGTTACCTGTATCATCTTCCTCTTAAGATGTACTTTCTTTTCTCACATGCAGAAGACATCACTCTGATATTTTTGCCTTTGGTACGGATATGTTTGAGTGAGGTAACACTGTACAGCACACACAGAACAAAGAAGATGATTGGGGTCTGAACAATCATACACAGAAGAGGGTGATTGGAGAAACATCCAATCACCACTCCCAGGCAGCATAAGTCTTGGAAAGGGAATATTGGTCTGAAAATAAATAAAATCAACCTGTCTCTGTGTTGGAGGTTTAGAAGCAATCAAAATCATATCTTCCTGCCATAAGATTCCTCTACTTTTTGAGGTTTTTCTCTTTCCACATTGACAAAATGGATTGATCAACTTACCTGGCATGTCTGTTTCTCCATGGGAGATGATACCTTTCATCTTTCTAATGTCACCTTCCATAAAATTCATCATTTCATGGCTTTTTGTGCCTCTGGTCATTGACATCCAGTGGATGAAATTATTTAGGCAGGTAGATGGATGACTCTCCATTTTCCCAGAGGCTCTAAGGAGAGGAGTAGTTCACAATAATAATAGTAATTGAAAAATGAGAGAGACACACACAGAAACTCACCAAGTGGCAAGTGTTGCCTCACAGAGAATATTTCTCTATTCCAAAATCCATATCGAGCATGGGATAACAAAGTCTTAACTCTTTCAACATGGGCTTGGTCCTAGGACTGACCCCGTAGCCATTTTGTGCTTGTTATAGTTTTCATGCTATAACTTTTAAATCAGTAAGCACAAGTTAACGAAATTTGGCAGATTATCAGTAAACATTACAATGCTTTCATACTCAAAATATCACATTTTTTATTAAATCTTAAGGTTTGTAAAGCAATGTTTTTCTCATGCCTTTTTTCTTTTCACTTGTTGCCTATCCAACGTGCAAAGAAATTTTCATTTTAAGATTAAAAATGCTTTTGTGCATCAGAAATATTTCGAATTTCACATGTGAAATCTTTATAATGTCCAGATAGTTATCAAATCGCCCCTGAACCTGCATATTCTTTTAATTATTTACATAAATATTTCTCACATACTGTATGGATTGACTTAGTGGAAGATTCACTCTATGCATTTTCCCTTTCTGTTGTTACACTCTCAGAAAGAAGCTAATCTTTTTAATTTCTGTCTTGACACTTGGGATTCTAGCTACTTGTTCTGTGAAAAAGTAAGTAGCATGGCCTGAAGTTAATAAGTTGTTTACCTACAAATGTATTTCTTAGAGATACTCTCATATCCACAGAACCAACCACTCTACCTTCCCCTTTCTGGTGTGTGTATATTTGTTTTCTCAAGAATAAACTTTTGGTTTACTAAGAGTGCTCAAGGGGAGTATTGTTAATTGCATAATATGCTATTACCGTATACAATATCGTGTAGAAGTGGGAATTCTTACAATGTCTTGAAATATGTGCAAACACTTTTTGATAATAGGTATGGAGCTAGCTAATTGTTTTGTGGAGAGGTGAGTATCTATCTAAAACATATATTCAGGTAAGGAAGATATTAACTCTGTAAAGACAACACAATTTTTAAAGCTGTAACACAAATAGAGCTGGGCAGATTAATTAATTAATCAAAATTGGTGTTTCTGATTATTACTGTTTTCAGTTACTTCCAACAAAATTATGATTAAATCAATTGTCATGAAAATGATTAACTAATCAAAGTTAGTGTCTAATTATTACTATTATGTTTGTTTGTTGTATGCAAAAAGTTAAATAATGGACTTTTTGTGCTCTGCATGCTTTCCCTATCACAAGTAATACTATATGTTTCTGTAACCAGCTGCTTTCCACAGCCCCAGTAATGTGTTTATGATTCTCCATTCAAATGCTTTCCATAATTCCAGTAACAGCTTTAGCATAATCATCTTACAGAGATACACAGTTATTTACTTGTAATACCCATTACAAAGCTTATTCTACATTGTAATAATACCATTGAGAAAAGGATATTTTGTTATCATGGAAGAAACTTGATTACAAGTAACAAACATACAATGTTTCGACAAGCTTAGGTCATCATCAGGTACTTCATGATGACAAAAGCTTCTCAAAACATTACATTTGTTACTTATAATAAAGATTTTTTCATTACCCATTCAAACCATCTCCAAACTTTATTGTTCAGATTATGTAATAGTTGTACCAGTAATTGACACTACTGTAAGATATTGGTAAAAATAAATAAAAGAATGTTATTTGACTACTTAATAATAAATATGACAGTCTTAAATA